TTCCAGGGAGAAGGAATTTCTTTTTTTTTTTTTGCCTTTTTGTCTTTTTTCATGTCTGGCAACGGATCACAACCCTCAGTGTCGCGCCCGTACCGGACCGGGACCGGCAACGGGATCGCAACCCTCGGTGTTGCTCCCACACCTCGCTCAGCCAGTGAGCGGGAACCGGTCTGTATGTGGGATCCGAACCCTCAGCGGGAGCGCCACCACGCTCCCAAGCGGCGCACTGTAGCAGTGCGCCACCGGGCCGGCCCAGGAATTTCTATTGAGTGTTTCCCAGTAGCAGCTATGAGAAACAGACCTTCCAAAGTACACTTCCTTGGAGACAATAATGGGGGTTTCACATGGAATGTGTACACATGTGTCTAGTTTGAACTTGGATGTCATCTTCTATAAGACAAGCCACCTCTTTGTGCTTATTTCATTTCCCCACAAGTTGTGGAAACAGTGCAGCTGATCAGTCTCTGCTCAGCATCTGGGAGAGGCATTCCATACTGTGTAAGCACAGCAGCTTTTAAATGATGCATATGTTTTAGTTAAGGTACAAATCTCACGTACTGATACTTTTAGGTATTGAGTATTATTGAAAACAGAGGAACTATATTCCTTTCCAGTTCTTCCCCTTCTTGATGGGTGAATCATTAGGATTCTGAGAAATAGTCATTTGTAATATTTCTAGTTCTAGCCTAGGAGTTGCGCATGTGTTTGCTTTGGAATCACATGTTTCCTCAAGGGTATTTAAAAGCAGAAGCAGGTTACCCAGAAACCCAGTAATGTGCCTAGTACATTCAAGGAAATGCACATGTGAATAATGCCAGCTACTGACTTTTAATCATTTCACTGTGTCCATTACTCCTGATTTGCTTGTTCTGTTTCTCATTAGTGGCCTTGGGTGGTGTATTAGTCCCTTTTGTGTTGCTATAACAGAATACCTGAGACTGGGTAATTCATAAAGAAAAGAGGTTTATTTGGCTTATGATTTTGGGATGTTTGCATCTGGCACAGGCCTTGGGCTGCTTCTACTCATGGCAGAAAGTGGCAGCAGCTGGTGGGTACAAGCAGATCACATGGCGAGAGGAAGCAAGAGAGAGAGAGAGAGAGAGAGAGAGGAGGTGCCAGGGTCCATTAACTATCAGCTATCGCGGGAACTAATAGAGCGAGAACTCACTCATTACATCCCCCTCCCCCAGGGAGAGCATTAATCCATTCATAAGGGATCCGCCCCCATGACTCAATCAGTTTCCAACACTGCCACATTGGAGATCAAATTTCCACATGAGTTTTGGAGGAGACAACACATCCAAACTCCATCAGGTGGTTCACATTTGGAAGGTCGTGTACCGTAAAGCTCCGGGTATGCAGCACAAGAGGTTTATGGAGATTCCAGGGGAGGCTGGTCCTTATGACCTTCCTTGCTCACTCCAACTTCTTCCCTCAGACCTGTGTTTAGTTGGGAAATTGATAAGGCCTTCTTGGGAAAATGAGATGAAAGGAAGGCCTGAGTCCACAGGTAAAGTACATCAGGTGAGATAGGATCAGAACACAGCCTCTTCAGTGGAGTCCTGTGGGCAGAGCTGGAGTTCAGCATTTGAGGATGAGCATTTGTGTCCTGGCTTGGCCTTGCTGTAGCCCTACTGCTTTCAGGAAGTTCTTTGCCTCTTTGGATTAATTTTTCCACCTATAAAACAGGAATGGTAATTCCTGCTATGAGGGGATGTTGTGGCAGGTTGAATCAAACACGCTCACATGGACACCTCAGAGCCAGCTGGTGGAAGTTGGGGAAGCCTGAGGGGGGGGGGCTGGTCACTCCAGTGAAAGTGTGTGATGAGGTCAGCCCTCCTCTCGTCTTCTGGAGCTTGACAAGCCCAGCAAGTTCCTCATCTAAGCAGGAAATCCAAGTGTGATCTGGAATGCCATCGCCTTGAGATAGAAGCAGGAAAATTGCTGTGGTGGAGCCATGGGGAAGGGGAAGGGTCCAGCAGCCCTGCCTCTTTAACCCTGACCTCAAACTCTGCTCTGGCTCCTGAGAAGCTCCGTGGGACTCACAGGGTTCTGGGACTGTAGTTTGAAAACCACCACTCTGCAGTAAGAGGAACGGTAATGTGGTTGGGCGCAGCTCTGGATCCTGTGTAGACAGCTGGTTAGGAAACAGAGAAAGCAGAGTCTGATAAACTTGGATCACACTTGATACAGATAAATGAGGCCCTCTAGTTGGGTGGTGATTTGGGTGTCCCCTATTGGATGAGGCTTGAGGAGTGTAGTAAAGGTTTGTCACACTTGGACAGGGATATGAAAAAGTGGGACATGTGGCCTGGAGGCTTGAGTGGTCTGGTCTATGCTCACAGTTCTACAGAGTAGAAATTACACACACTGTGGTGTGTTCTGCACCCGGTGAATGACTTTATTTTGTTGCATGGGTATTTTATATTTGATTTCACATAGATTATTCTCATAAAATATTATTTTGACTTAATTGAAGTTTTTAAGGTTCAAGTCAGGGCTTCTATGTCTATTCCTTAATTTAACTTTGTAAATTACTACTGTTAATACAAAGAGTTACTCTATGTAACTTAGAAATGAGTTACTAACTCATTAGAGTTACTAACTTAGAAATGGGTTGAGGTTGGGATGGGGGAAAGTTGCTTGCAAGGAAGCCTTTGTAGCTTGCAAGGAAGACTATTACAGAGCATGGCATTGACCGTGACTATCATACTGTGGATTCCAAGTAGCTTCAGTCGACTGCTGCGTCAAATGGTATGGGGCTGACAGGAGGGGCCGTGGCCCTCCAGGCCACCACCACTGGTCTCCATCCAAGCCAGTTTATCAAATCCAGCCTATGCTGGATGAGCTCGTGTTTATCTGTCCCAGGGGTTCTTTCCTAGCAGTGGCCCCTGGGTGGAACTGGTGGAACATCGAGGCCAAGTGCACGGGCTGTACATGTCAGTGGAAGAGTCAGGGATCAGCAGTAGCCAGGAAGACCCTGAGCACGTGGGCTCAGCACAAAATTCATTTTTTCTACCACCAAGCACTAGCTCCTTTTGAGTTCATCTTTTATCAAGGTGCAAACCTCACCCAGACTCTTTCCCAGTCCCTCCTTCAAGGTGGAGCTCATGAAACCACCTGTTGCCACATCCTTAATTTTTATTTTCTTCATTTGCTTGTGGCTTTTCTTATTATAATACCAATAATGTGAGGAGATATTATAATAAGAGGCCTTACCCTTGACAACAAGGAGTGCAGCCTGTCCACTTCAGTCTCAGTCTGAAGTCACATACCTCCCACATCCGATCTCTGCTAACTATACCTGATACCTTGTCCTGCTGCGATGCCCGCAATTCCCTTTATGACTGGTACAACCCAGTGCTCCTCCTTCTCCTTCACGTGCCTTTATGAAATTATCTTTCTGTGCCTAGAAAGCCATCTCCATCATGTGCCACTCATTCACTTTGTCACTTTTCTGTAGAGAATAACACGAAAATAGTAAATGTTAAAAAAGCTGACCTTAAGTGTTACAAGATGCCTGGTGCCCAGATGCACAGGCAAGCCAGCCTTTCCCATACCTTCCCTCCACTTTCCTGTCCAGGGGGGATGTTGGATAAAAATTAATGAGTCCATTTGGTATTGGAGCTCTAAACAGTTGGTAGGCTGCACAATGTGCTAGGCTTGCTTTTCTCCATAAGCATTGTCAGTAGCGTCGAAGAGTTCGGAAACTGAGTGTTCACAAGGGGATATAGTTAAATTCAGCAGTTTTTTTTACAAGAGATTGATTATCGGGAGTAGAAATAAGCCAGTTTACGTAGTCCCGGCCCCAGAAGAATAAGGGAACTGGTGAGGGGCCGAGCTGGAACTTTTCCCACAGCCTGTATGTGGCCTTTTCTTCCTGCTCCCCTTGACCCACTTCCCCATGTCCTACTTGCCC